TGTTTTGTTTGCTTGACTTGTGGCTTTTTGCTGTAATAGCATTAAATTGTTGTGCTGTTCAGATCGGTGAAGATGAGCAGTCAGTATATTGAGTGGGCTTTGTAGTGACAGCTTAGCTGATAAAGTATTAAAAAAGAATTAGGAAATAATTATAGGATGATAATTTTGACTATTCAAAGAGAAAAAAAAATCATAAGTAACATTTAATACTGAATGACGATTATAGCTGTTATATTCGCTGTTGACCGGTCTCGCTGGTTGGGGCTTATCGGATGCCGTCAACAATGGTGATGCGTCACACTATAACAGCTGCGAACTTGAAGCACAAGGCAAAATTCGAGCAGGTTACAACAGTTCTTTCATATTTTTTCTTTATCTTCTCTTTAACTTGTCTTCAACAAATTATTGCTTTGAATCATTTATAAATTACCCTTTTTTTCTGCTTCGGTTCCAATTTTCAATCTTATTATCATTCTAGCAAGCAATATTATTAGTGTCATTTGACAGTTTGTAAATTTGCTTTTGTTGTTATAATTTTTTTTGTAAAACTATGGCACTTAGCTGTGTAGAAGTTCACATGGTTGGATTTAATGAAATGTGCTGTATGCCATTTACTGGTTAGCAGAAAGAAAAAGCTTAGATAGCGACAACATAGACTTTAATTATTGTTCTAAAAGCACGTTCAGTCAAAGTAACGTCAATAACTGTAAGCTGTATGTACGGAGGACGATTAAAACTGTCTCAAAATTTTTATTTATTCTTTTAGATGATCGTAAAATCAAGTTCGAAGGCGGACATGCTACAGTTATCATCGAGGATTCTACATCCTATCATTGTTCTTTTGGACTGTATACAGAGGAACTTAAATTCTCCTATACGTGTAAGTGACAACATTTTGACTGCTATAATATTAAACAAAATAAATGATGGCGGAATTTGGCTACAGTTGGCTGAAAATATATTTATAACTATGGAACTCCAGCTTTCCTTATTTTATAGTTTTACAACCAAAGACTCTTTTTTGAAGATTTGCTGTAGTGTTTTTCTTGTATTATGTTGTGAAAAGAATTTTGCCGATTGAAAAGCTTAATATTATCATTGTTTTTTTTTTTTTTTAACTTTTGAATTAACGTAAATTTTGGCAAAAATGATGATAAAATTTTTTATGGAATGCTAAGATGTAGAATTGGTGATGGATAGTTCAGATTCAACTGATTTCATAAGTTCAGATTCAACCGATTTCATATCTGATTAGTAAACAGATCAGATCACATTTTCATTTTTGCAGGGAGGAAATTTACGTTGATAATTGACTTGGTACTTTATGTTACGCTTATTATTGCCAGTATTCTTCTGCTTATTGGTATTGCAACATACTTTGAATGGTTGCTACTTCCATGGATCTTTTTGATGGCATTTGATATTATCAGAGGAATCATATCTGTTATATTTATATTCATTGTTGCACATGTAAGTTCTATATTTTCAAACATTGGCAGTGTTGTTCAACAAAGTTTAACAGCCTTTATTATAGAACCTTTAACAGTTATTTTGCAAAATAAGCATTGTTAAGAAAAAAAAGTTTTTTTTTTATTTTTATCATGTTTATTTTCTAATCAAAAGTGTTATTAATATAAGAATAAATTTGTTGTTATAGTGGAATTTGGCTCGAATTGCAACAGGGATTTTCTTCCTTGGATTACAGTTCTTCCATGTAAGTTTTCCAGAATTTTATTCAGCGTTTTCGACAAAATTAAATTTCACTGAAAGTTTTGGGTTTTTCTGTAATAAATAGACTGTTCAAGCAATTAGTTTTTAAACAATTTATAGACTGGACGTTTTATTGGTACTTTTTATTCGTCAAAACTCTACAATCATTTCAGATATCTATATTGATGATTATTATTGCCAAATTTCAACGGATTCATAACCATAATATGGGAAATGTGATTGACGAAAAAGAGGTAGTTGAACAAAATTTTTATTTGTAAATTTTTATGCTTTTACAATGGTGAAAAACTGTTCCAAAAAAAAGAAGCGAAACTTGCTATTTTACCGGTCGTTTTGAGTGTATTGTTACTAAAATATTTAATTTTTTTTTTTGGGGAGGGGGGGGTGGGAAAGGGAAAGGAGCGGAGTATGGAGGGTAGGAAAAGGGAAGAAAATTTTTTGTGACAGAAGAATTTGCTAAACTGAAGTGCTTTTTTTTTAGCTTCTATTTTTTTCATATAAAAAAAAAAAACACTTAATGCTGCAGTTTACAATAAGAATTATGTAGTTGCAGTACGATGCACGAACTCGAGGCTACCCGACGTTGCCATCAAATTACGCCTATTCACCGCCGTTAAGACGAGATATGAATTATCTGGATGTAAGGGATCCACGGTCATATGATGCAGCAACCATCTACAGACCTCAACAATCAGTAATTCAACCTCATTACTATCGCTAAAAAAGAAAAAACGAAAACGACAAAAAAAAAAAAAAAAAAAAA